CTTCTGTTTGATAGGCTTTTTTCTACCTGAGAATCTATGCATGAATAGATATTAAAATTTGTTTACTTTTTTCTGTATTGAGATGGTCATATGATTTTGTAATTTAATCTAACAGTACTTCAAACTGCTGCATAAATTGATTTAGAATTGTAAACAAATCTAATTTTCCTGGAATGAATCCTACCTGGTCATGACATTTTTTTTTATATATATACATCATTGCAGGATTTGATTTGCTACTATCTTGCTAAAGACTTTATGTTGCCATTCATGAGAGACAATTTTCTGTAGTTTTCTTTTCCTGTAATGCCTTTATTTTGGTAGCAGAGTAATGTTGACTTAATGATAAAAACTAGAAACCACATCCTCATTTTCTGTTTTCTAAAAAGAGACCTTGTAAAATTGTTATTACTTGTTTTATGTCTTCCTTAGACGTTTGGTCAGATTCACCAAGGAAACCATTTGGGCATACACACACACACACACGTTCCAATTAATGATGGTTGAATCTAGAGGCTCCTAATAGTCCAAGGTTTTGTCCAGATGGATGATGAAAGGAGTTCTACTGCAAACAGATTCAAATAGATTTTAAATTTTATGGCCTGTTGTGGTGGAAGTGGTTAATAGAATGAGGGTATGTGTGCCATATCCATAGCTGAAGTTGGAGCTACAGCATTAGTTTGTAGGCATATTCTCCATTAGTGAGTCACTATTGACCTTTTGATTCAGTTATCAGTTTGGTTGGTGATAGGAAAGCTGGCATGATGGTCTTTTGCTTCAAGACTAGTATTATCCAAACTTGGTGCCACGCAGGCCTCAGCATTTGTCATGTTTGGTTGAAACAATGTCTTCTTTGGAATATTTGAGCCTCTGAACTGCAAACCAATAAAAACAGTGAAAACAAAACCAAGAGCCAACATAAAGGTGTGCTGTTGCATCTTACAGTCATTTTGCTATCTGACATTTCTTTCTCTCCAACATGCATTACTACCAAGAAGGAGTTTCTAGTTTCATCATGGTGGGGCAAGGTATTGCTTCCAACATTATTTTCCAAAGCACTTTTCTTTTGCCAAATGGAATTGCTTATCTCCTTTCTTGCTAGTCCACACCATTTGTGGAAATGGCCCTGGAGCAATAGTTTAAATATCTTGAAGGGGAGGCCATAATTATCTTCTATCCTTTGTATTTGAAAAGTCCTGAATATTTTTAATAGTGCAAATTTAGGTTCAAGTCGGTCCTGTAACAAGTGCACAAGTTCCAGTCCTGTAGAGAAATCTACCATTTGGAGAATATCCACTTTTGATATGCCAAACAGGCCTTGTGACGTGGGCTGTTTGAAAATTTATATTCATAGAAAGAGGTTTGATTGAAGGGCCTGATGTATAAAGAATCCTCCTAAACATAAAAATGAGACACATCCCCCCTTTAAATACAGAAAAGGGCTATAGAGAGGCTTGTAAAAATTAATATGTCATGTAAGTCTGCCCACATATTTGGAAGGAGATATTGGGGATTGATGCAAAACTGAGACCTAGCTAGGGGTCCTTTTGCTAGATTGAAGTTTAAAAATCTGTTGTTTCATAATACTGTGATGTCTTTTCATTAAACTGGTCACCTGGGGACTATATAACAGATGGAAATTCCATTGAATAACCTGTTCCAGTGCCCACTGTTGCACTGGTTGTGTTGTAAAAAGGGATCCCTGATCTGAATCAATAATGTCAGAGTCCAGAAGGGTAGAAGGACATTTTTAGCAGTTAGTGATTGTTTCATCTGTGGCATGTACAGTTAGATGGACAGAAGGAGGCCATAATAAGTATCTATCATAGCTAGAGCACAACGCATGACTGCTGGTGAAGGGGAGAGCAGTCCAATATAATCTACTTGCCATCTACTGTAGGGAATATTTCTCCAGGGAGTATTGCTGTATTTTATTGGGGCCAAATGAAAGCTTTCCCTTTGTCCTCTGAAGTTTTACTGAAAATTAACTAGCAAAAAAGCAGATTCATGAAATAAAAGGTATGCAGAGTCATTAACATGCAATGGAGTCCTACAAAATATAAGAACTCACATGGTTGATGCTTTTATACCGTCTTAAGGTTGCCGTGGCAAAAAAGATTATGGGAAGAGGAGAAGAGGTGTCTTGGATAGTAGAGGTGATCTTGTTTCATAGATGAAATGTCACATGTAGCTTCCCTCTGAGAAAATAGTTGGTAAATGCTACTTTAAGACTTTTAACGTGTCAGACTCCTGGTTAATCCTTCCTAATCTGGATACGGGAGGGCCTTAGAAAAAGCCTGCCTATATTTATGCAGATTTTCTCTGCAAATGCAAATTTGCCCCAAAAAGATAGCTTTGCAAAAGCTTCTTCAGTTTGTAGGCCCTCAGAACAACCATCTCAAAATATGGCAAAAAATTATAGTTCGGGTGAATTTTTTTTTCAATCTCATGAGTTGCCAATGACAGATTTCACCAGAAAATATACATTTATCAACAGCTGATTTTGCCATGGGTTGTACTGGAGAAAGTCCTTTACCTTTGGCACAATCCATCAGAAAAAGGACTCCTAGATGGTTCAAAGTCTTATGGGCCCAGATTGCCCATGGTGATAGAACTGAGGAAGATTAAGAGAGAGAAATTTGGTCCTGTTTATCAGTCTCATCACTGAAGAGAGAGTTTGGTGTACTTGCAATGATAATAGCAGAAACATGAATGACCAAAATTTTAAGGAGACCAGCTGATGCCAAGTGGACCATCTCTATAGTTGTTTACACTGGGCCAAACAGCAAGGCTGTTGGCTATTGCCCAACCATCTGTAAAATAGTGAACAGATGATAGTTCCTTTCCTGGGCATGGCCTCTATTTGGGGTGAGCTGTGGATGCCATCTTGTATGGAGGAGACGCCAGTGGCTAAGTGGAATTCAGCTGCTGTCCAGCGAGCTCCATCCATTTGATATTGGTGCCGCTATCAGCAAAGTATACTGACACCATTTCTTCTTTAGATAATTAACCCACAAGGCTTCTCACTTTGCAATAAGTGAAAATGGGGAAAGCCACATATTCTGATAATTTGGAAAGAGCTCTACTGTCAGGTTTAAACTTAATGTAAAGATGCCAATTCTATTTTTAATATGAGAATTCTGTGGTCATATTGAGCCACCAAAGTATGTAGAAAGACAAAATGGCAGGGAGCAGGGGAGCTTTACTGGCTTCAGTTTCTAGGAGTGCCCAGTACACAGAGAAGTGTTGCTCCAAGAGTGTGTACCAGGTGTCAAGCATGCAGCTGCCAAGTCCAAAAATGCCAGGAGCAGTATTTGGAATCATGCTGTATTCATAGGCTCTAAGAGGCATAGTCTTCAGTGTCTAGGATCTCCACTCAAAAGTTGGACCCTAGCAGTACCAAGGGTAAGGCCTGCAGGACAGCCAACGGGCCAAACTCCAGGGCACATAATGGTAGGTAGTTTAGGGTAATTTTCGAGATAAGCCTGAATATAACAGACAAATGAAGAATGTGTTGCCTCCAAAACTCACTTAGGCCCAGAAGATGTTGCACTTGTTTAAAGGTAGTTGAGATTTTTAGTAGCATCCACTGATGCGTAAGTCCCTTGGGAATTTGTTTTTCTGCTAACCAGAAAGCCCCAATATTTAACAGAAATTGCTAACCTTTGTATTTTATGTAGGACTGTATGTAACCCAATCTGGTGGCTTGGGATTCTGTCACTGTTGTATCCAATTAGGCCAGAATGGGCTGTACAGGTTTGGATTTTAAGAGATTGCAGAAACCTTATTTTGTATGTTTAGCCTCTTAACCAGTAATTTGATTAGGAATTTAATCCAATCAGTATTCTAATACATGAGGGTGGGTTTCAATCTTTGCAAGACCAAGGCTATTTTAGTTAGATTTCATTTTTGGAAAGTACCTTTTTAGGATCCAAACTGAAACTATATGGCATTAAAAAGGACCCCTTCATGTTTTTGAGTCCAGAATGCTACTTTTGTTTCCCTAATTCTGTATGATAGTTGTGAGGCCAGTTGCCTCGCTGGGAGCTTGGACATGCCCACTTCTGCACTCAGCACTTAGCCTGCCTTGGAAAACCCCACCTACCTACCAATAGCAGCCTGCCCTGATCACGCCCTGTTTCCCCACAACCAATCAAATGCCTTCACTCCCTATAAAACCCCACGCCCAGAAGAGTCAGGCGTGACTTCCCTGGCCTCTTTCCACGGGACCACGGAACCTCGCCTGGGATCTGAATAAATTGGCATTTAATCTTTTTGTGCTGGCCTGTTTCCTCATTTTAAATTCAGCGATAACTCTTACAAGTGGTGCCGAAACCTGGGAGGACTTCTAGGACCGCTCCTGGGGGAAACTGACTCCTCCACCCGAAGCCAGGCCAGGAAACTGCTCCGCCGCAAGGTAAGACTTCTATTGCCCACAACCTTTCCTGCTGCTTGCCCCATGGACTCCCTAATCATAATCACGGCTGCATCAGGGACTCCTTCCTGTCTCGCCATGGGCCTGGGGCCCCAGCCTTGTCTTGAGGACCTGACCATAGAGGAAACATCCCTACACTCTTGTCTTCTCCCCGTGAGGGGTTTCCCAGGGTCAGGATTCTGAGGGAGACGTCCCCACCTTCCTGAACCCTCTCGTATCCACCGGTGTTCGGTGGCATGGCCAAGGTTTGGGAAATCAGAAGTGTCCGTTTGCAAACCTGGGCCCTGTCCCACAGCAGGACCAAACCCCTGGCTTTCACCACTAAAATGTTTATCTCAAACTAGCCCTTTGGCATACAAGCTCCCGTCTAGGAAGTAACTGCACTTTCGGTTTCTCTTCCTAATCCTGAGCAAATGAGTGAGCTTAGGTGTATTCCCACGGCCTGACAGCTACGGGGCTTGTGTGGGCCTCAACCCACTGTTTCACAGGGATGTAATAAGACATAACAGTGATTCACCTCAGGAAACTGAAGGGGACCAGGCCTGGGGGTTATATGGTACACCTTAGCCAAGATGCCCTGAAACATCCCTTCGGGGACATGGCCAGGAAGGCATCAGACTGGTCTCCCTCTCGAGGGGCACCCACCCTTTGTCCATTAATACTATATGTGGTTCTGTCTTTACTGTAAATTCACTAGCTTCGTTAGGCTCCTACTAGCCGATACACAGTGGTCCAGGCCTGCTTCCCTTGAAGTAGCAGATATTCTACAGTGGGTAACAGACCGCTGGCTACAGGGGACCGTCACTGAATTCTTGCCTCTAGAAATAACTCTATTCTCCTTTTTCCTCCTACTCTTCTTTTACCGCTAAAGCCTCACTTCCTAGTTCTCTTTCTCACTTCCTCTAATTCTTCCATGTGGCAATTAGCTGTAGCCCTGTCTCTTTTTTATTTTCTTTCTCATTATAATCTTCACACCCTGGAGGTTCTCTCAGCCACACCCCCCTGGGAAAAGAGATTTTCTGCCTGTGTTGGGCATAATGCCTTCCAGTGTCCACACCTCACCCATAGTTAACTACAAAAATGTGGGTAATCAAATTTCATCCAGACCCCAAGTCACCACTGGGATGCCTAGCCAAAAATCTACCCAAACTGGGTCTTTCTATAAAAAAGAAAAGGCTACTCTTCCTCTCCACTGTGGCCTGGCCACAGTACCCTCTGGCCAACCAGTCTAAATGGCCTCCAGAGGGCACACTCGACTTTAATGTCCTGACCTAGATAACTTTTGCCAAAGGAATGGCAAGTGGGCAGAGGTTCCCTACATTCAGGCTTTCTGGCATCTCCTCTCCCACCCTGATCTCTGCTCTTCCTGTAGTACTGTCCAGGTACTCCTAGCAAAGAACTCCCTGACACTCCCTCCGGCCCCTTCGCCAGCCCCAATCTGACTGAAAAGCTCTCCTTACCCCCCGCCTGACCCACTAATCCTCTGCCTTATGCAGGCCCCCAAACCCCACCTGCTCATCCTCTTCCAAGTTCCAACCTGACCTCTCCTGTTAGTGCCCACACTTGCTTGCACTGTGCTTCCAAAGACAAAACCTCTCTCCTTTGTCCTATCGGAGGGCGTTGTCCGAGTGCACATTCCCTTCTCCCTCTCCGATCTATCGGCCATTGAAAAGCGCCTAGGGTCATTCTCCACCAATCCTACTGCTTACACCAAAGAATTTCGTTACCTCGCCCAGGCGTATGACCTTACCTGGCATGACACCTATGTAATCCTGTCCTCCACCCTTACACCATATGAGCATGACCACATTCTTACAGCAGCCTGAACACACACTGATCAGGTACATCTCACAAACAAATGCCGGTGGCGTGGCGGCGGTACCCGAGGCCAACCCTAATTGGGACTATCAAACTGGTCAAGATGGCCACCGCCACGGAGCCCAAATGCTACAGTGCCTCCTAGCAGGCATGCAAAGTGCAGCTCAGAAGGTAGTTAATTCTGACAAGTTAAGGGAAATAACTCAGGGTCCTGATGAAAACCCAGCTGCCTTCCTTAACCAATTAACTAATGCTATGATCCTCCATGCCTGGCTGGATCCGGCCTTCCTAGCAGGGGCTACAGTCCTAGCCACTCACTTCATCTCCCAGTCAGCAGCTGATATAAGGAGGAAACTTTAAAAAGTTGAGGAGGGCCCCCAAACTCCCATACGAGACCTGGTAAACCTGGCATTTAAAGTTTTTAATGGCCGAGAGGAAAAAGCTGAAGCCACCTGTCAGACCCGGCTGCAGCAGAAAGCCTCCAAACCCAGGCTCTTGTAGCAGCCCTGAGGCCAGCAGTCCACTGAGTACCTGGTGGAGGGGGTCCATCAAAACCCTTCCAAAATTCTTTTAGGGCCCCGCCCGGGCCGTGTTTTAAATGTGACCAGGAGGGACACTGGGTGCAGCAATGCCCCTGTCCTCGTCCTCCTCCTGGACCTTACCCAAGCTGCAAACAAACTAGACACTGGAAGGTTGACTGCCCATCACAGACTACAGGCTCACCCCCCGCACCTCTATGTGAGGGGCAAGCCGGTCCACAGAAAGCAGTCCCATCACTTCAACATCTCAGCCTTGTGAATGACTGACAGAACCTGGACTTGAGGAACCCCATCACCCTCACCGAGCCCAGGATAATGCTGCAGATAGTGGGTAAGTCCATTTCCTTCTTAGTGGATACGGAGGCTACCTATTCTGTATCGCCTTCCTACTCAGGACCTAGCATACCTTCCCAGGTTTCAGTCATGGGAATTAATGGAAAGCCTTACTGTCCTAATCAAACTCATCCCTTAGCCTGTGTCCTTGAGGGACATCCCTTCTCCCACTCCTTTCTAATCATACCCTCATGCCCAGTTCCCCTTTTAGGATGAGATATTCTCCAAACTGTGGGGGCCACTCTCCAACTCAATGGCTCCCCACACTCAAGCCCATCACCAGCCCACCTCCTCTTGCCACTCTTAACTGACACCATCCCCCGTTTTAATCCTTCACCTGAACCCCCTATTCCTCCTGAGGCAGTCAATCCCTCGGTATGGGACACCTGCAAGCCAGTAGTGGCCAGATATCACACGCCAGTTAAGATACTTCTAAAAAATCCTACCCACTTTCCCTCACATCCTCAGTTTCCCATCTCAAAAACCCACGGACTCCTTATCCCCACCAGTTCCCCTTGTAATACTCCTATCTTGCTGGTCCAGAAGCCATCCGGCAACTACCACCTAGTTCAGGACCTACGCCTTAAGGAGGCAGTGGTACCCCTCCACCCTGTGGTCCCCAACCCATATACCCTATTATCCAGCATTCCCTCCATTACCTCCCATTTTACAGTTCTTGACCTCAAGGATGCCTTCTTTACCATTCCCCTACAACCTGAGTCTTACTTTCTCTTTGCCTTCACCTGGACTGATCCAGACACCAACCTGTTGCAACAGCTCACCTGGACGGTCCTGCCCTAGGGATTCAGAGACAGCCCCCATATTTTCAGACAAGCCTTAGCAGCTGATCTTAGCTCCTGTCCCCTTCAACCCAGTCTCCTTCTTCAGTATGCGGATTACCTGTTACTTTGTAGCCCCTCCCTCTCCCTGTCTCAGCAGCACACCACCACTCACCTTAACTTTCTGGGATCTCAAGGGTACCAGGTATCTCCCTCCAAGGCACAGTTATCAGTCACCTTGGTAGTCTACTTAGGCATTCGCCTCACCCCTACAACTAAAAGCCTAACAACAAATCGCCAAAAGGCACTCCTTTTGCTACAGCCTCCAGAGACGGCTGACCAAATTCTTTCCTTTTTAGGGTTTGTAGGCTTCTTCCACACTGGATACCTAATTTTGACTGCCTAGCTAAACCTCTATATGCAGCAGCTAAAGCTGCTAGGATGGGACCCCTCTCCCATCCTAGGATAGTAAAGCAGGCTTTTAAAACCCTACAAACTGCATTATCCACAGCACCACTGCTCCAGGTACCAGATCTCAGCTGCCCCTTCCATTTGTTCACTGATGCAAAACAGGGGATTGCAGTTGGGGTCTTAACCCAACCCCTGGGCCCCATGTATCATCCAGTAGCCTACTTATCAAAACAACTTGATTCCACTGTCAGGGGATGGCAGCCTTGCCTGCAAGCCCTGGGGGCAGCAACAGAACTCACCAAGGAATTCCTAAAACTTACCTTAGGCCAGCCCATCTCAGTGTTTTCTCCCCATTGGCTAACCGACCTTCTCTCTCACAAATCTCTCGCTCACCTAGGACCCTCTCACAGGAATTTCATCTACTCTTTATTGAAAATCCTACAGTCAGCCTTCCCACTTCTCCACTCAACCCGGTTACCCTGCTTCCCCTTCCATCCCATTCCCCCTCCCCAGCCCATTCCTGTCCTGAACTAATAGAGGCACTTACTAAACCTCGAGAGGGCTTGTCTGACCTCCCCCTACCTAACCCAGACCTTACCTTTTATGTAGATGGGAGTTCAATAGTGACAGCTGAGGTGCGGTGAAAAGCATCCTATGCAGTAGTTGCAGATTCAGTCACCCTCAAGGCACGCCGCCTCCCCAATGGAACCACATTGCAAAAGGCGGAGCTCATTGCCTTAACCTGAGCTCTCACGTTAGCACAGGGAAAGCAAGCAAATATCTATACTGACTCAAAGTATGCTTTTCTTATTACCCATTGCCACTCTGCCCTCTGGAAAAAGTGGGGATTTCTTACTATGAAAGTGTCCCCGATAATTAATGCTGCCCAAATCTCTGATCTCCTGCAAGCCCTATCACTGCCCAAAGAAGTTGCCATCATTCACTGTCAAGGGCACCAGGCCCAGCAGCTTGCCATTTTCCGGGGCAATGCAAGGGCAGATGCGGCAGCAAAATCCTTGACCAGTACCAGGCTAGCCCCCAATCCAGCCCTGTTCCTCACCATGGCCACGCTGCCGTTTTACCTGCCATCAGAAAAACAGGCCCGCATATTAAGGGGAGGAACGGAGTCTAATCAGGGCTGGATCTGCTTAAACAACAAGATCACCCTTCCACAGGAACAAGCCCCTAAAATTATTACTGAAATCCACCAGTCCTTACATATAGGGCCTAAGGCATTATACCCCTTTGTGTAGCCCCTCTTTTTCTCACCAGGTCTACAACAGACAACTGAGCAGGTACACAAAGCTTGTGTTACTTGCTCTAAGTTCTCGCCTCAGGGAGACTTCAAGCCACAGTTTCCTACCCACCAAATGTGTGGCAACCTGCCAGCACAAGACTGGCAAATTGATTTTACTCATATGCCCACTCACAAAAAACTCCGCTACCTCCTAACCTTTGTAGATACCTTTTCTGGATAGATTGAAGCCTTTCCTACCTCCAGGGAAACCATGGACACAGTGGCCTCCCTCTTGACTCAGGAAATCATCCCTCATTTCAGCTTACCTGCAAACATGCAGTCAGACAACGGTCCAGTGTTTACAGCTCAGGTGGTCCAGCTGGTTGCCAAGTCTCTCAGCATCTCCTGGAAACTACACATCCCTTAACACCCTCAGTCACTGAGTAAAGTGGAACGGGCTCACGGCATCCTCAAAGATCATGTAGCCAAACTCACCATCGAGGTAAAGCTCTCTTGGCCCACACTCCTGCCCCTTGCCCTGGCCCAGGTCTGAGCCACCCCATGGGGACCAACGGGCCTCAGCCCCTTTGAATTGCTGTATGGACGACCTTTCCTGGTCTCTCATAATCTCCCGGTACAACCACCTTCTCTAGCCTCCTACCTCCCTCTCCTCCGCCACTTACTTATGGAACACGCAGATCATACTCTCCCCATTGCCCCGGGACCAGAGGACCCCCATCCAGTGGCATTCCTCCAGCCAGGTGACAGTGTTCTCATCTGGGAGCTCAAACCAGGATCTCTACAGCCTAGGTGGTCAGGACCCCACATCGTTATCCTAACCACCCCTACAGCCGCCAAGCTCCTGGGTCATACCCCATGGTATCATGTATCCTGCCTCAAACTGGCCCCCCAAAATGATCAATGGAGATCCAAACCCTTGGGCCCCACTCGCCTCCATCTCCCCTGTGGCCCCTACCCGTCAACTCCTAACCCTTCAAGTCCTCCTCCTAACAATACTTCTAGCATCCCCTCTTAAGGCCAACCCCTAGTATGTCTGGCGGTTCTACCTCCAGGAATCTTGGACAGAAGGCCCCACCACTAGAAACCCAATACATTGCTGCTATTACATCAATGAAACAGGTCTAGTAGAAGAGAATATCAGCACTCTCTGTCGCCTCCAAGAAGACCTCAGAAGAAAACAAAATGCACCAGGCTCTTCTCTTACCTCGTGGCATTCCCCCATGCTCACCTGGCTGGCTCCTATTATTGTCGCCATTATCATTGTTTGTCTTTTGCTAATACTAGCCCCTTTTGTCCTCAGGTTTCTACAAGCTCGTATAAGCGAAATTTCCAGGGTGGCTGTAAACCAGATGCTGCTTCACCCCTATGTCCAACTCCCAACTGAGGCATCAGCCAACTGACCGTTTCCCCTCACTACGCCCCTATTCAGCAGGAAGTAGCCAGAGAGAAATGGCGTCCTATAACATCAAAAGGGTCGGAACGTAAGGCCAGTTGCCTCGCTGGGAGCTCAGACACACCCAGTTCTGCACTCAGCACCTAGCCTGCCTTGGAAAATCCCTCTGCACTCAACACTAAGCTCTGCACTAGCCCTCCGTTGGAAAATCCCACGTACCTACCAATAGCAGCCTGCCCCAACCATGCCCTATTACCCCACAACCAATCAAACGCCTTCACTCCCTATAAAACCCCTCGCCCAGAAGAGTCAGGCATGACTTCCCTGGCCTCTTTTCCCGGGACCACAGAACCTCACCTGGGAGCAGAATAAATTGGCATTTAATCTTTTTGTGCTGGCCTCAGTTTCCTCATTTTTAACTCGGTGATAACCCTTACAATAGTTTTATGACTTTTATTAAATTTTAGTCATTATGGAATTAAAAATTTTCTAAGTAGTTACAGGTAACTTGAAAAAGAAACTTCAAACTTTTTGGTCTCTGAGAGCTTCAAAACTACACTTTTATGCATATTACATCATTTTATTTGAACAAGCCACTGAAAATTGAAGGTGGCTTTAAAACTACCTACTCTTCACAAATAATGCAAATAAACTTCTTTTCACCTGTTTTCATTGTGTTTAATGGCATTATTCTCTGGATGACTGCATATCTAGACTTGGGATTTCTAAAATAGAAGATATAGGCATGGGGAAAGACTTAATGATGAAAATGCCAAAAGCAATCGCAACAAAAGCCAAAATTGACAAATGGGATCTAATTAAAAGATCTTCTGTACAGCAGAATAAACTGTCACCAGAGTGAACAGGCAACCTACAGAATGGGAGAAAATTTTTGCAATCTACCCTTCTTACAGAGGTCTAATATCCAGAATCTACAAGAAACTTCAACACATTTACAAGACTAAAAAACAACCTCATCAAAAAGTGGGCAAAAGATATGAAAAGACACTTCTCAAAAGAAGACATTTTTGTAGCCAACAAACATACAGAAAGGCTCAACATCACTGATAATTACAGAAATATCAATCAAAACCCCAGTGAGAAACCATCTCATGCCAGTCAGAA